GTGTGGTACTGTGTCAAAGGCTTTCCGACAGTCCAAAAAAAATGCAGTTCGCCTAGCCTTCTCTTTCTTGCTTAATTTTTGTCACCTGTTTGAAGAATTCTATCAAGCCTGTAAGGCAAGATTTACCCTCCCTGAACCCATGTTGATGGGTTGTCACGAAGTCCCTTCTCTCCAGATGTGTTACTAGTTTTTTTCTCACGATCTTCTCCATCACCTTGCATTGTATACAAGTTAGGGACACTGGCCAGTAGTTCAGTACCTCTTGTCTGTCACACTTTTTGTTAATTGGGACTACATTAGTCATCTTCCACATTTCTGGTAGTTCTTCTGTTTCCAGTGACCTACTATACATTATGGAGAGTGGCAAACAAAGTTCTCCTGCACACTCTTTCAATACCCATGATGAGATTCCATCCGCCCCAACAGCCTTTCTCACTTCCAGCTCCAATAGGTGCCTCTTGACCTCAGCTCTTGCAATTTCGAACCCTTCCAAGGTTGCATGGTTTGCTGCCACCTCTCCTAGCGCCGTGACCTCTCCTTGTTCTATTGTAAAGACCTCCTGGAACCTCTTGAGTTCTTCCACACCCCTCTTTGTCCTTCTCTGTGTACCTGTCCTCACCCGTTCTAAGTTTCATCACCTGTTCCTTCACCGTTGTTTACCTCCTGATGTGACTGTGTAGTAGATTTGGTTCTGTCTTGGCTTTATTAGCTATATCATTTTCATACCTTTTCTCAGCTTCTCTTCTCACACTAAAATACTCGTTCCTGGTTCTCTGGTATCTCTTCCTACTTTCTAGTGTTCTGTTATTTCAGAAGTTCCTCCACGCCCTTTTTTCAGCTCCTTTGCTTTCATACATTCCCTATTAAACCTCTGATTCTTCTTTTGCTTCTCGTTTTTTTCCTGTCGGGCCGGGATAAACCTGTTTACTGCCTCCTGACACTTTTGGGTGACATAGTCCATCATGTCTTGTACGGACTTAGTTCTGAGTTCTGTGTCCCATGGTATATCCCTTAGAAATTTATTCATCTCCTCACTGTTTCCCTTTTAGTACGCCAGTCCATTGTTTCCCAGTTCTTTTTTTTGGGTGAAGGGGGGGGGGGCATAATTCCTAGCTCAACCAGGTACTCAAAGCTCAATACACTATGATCATTCATTCCCAAGGGGGTTTCCAACTTAACTTCCCTTATATCCGACTCTTATCAGATCAAGCATAACTGGTTCATCCTCTCCTCTCATTCTTGTCGGTCCCTTGACGTGTTGACTTAGAAAGTTTCTTGTTGCTACGTCCAGCAGCTTAGCTCTCCATATGTCTTGTCCTCCATGTGGGTCTCTGTTCTCTCAATCTATCTTCCCGTGGTTGAAGTGTCTCATGATTTGTAGTCTGGATCCGATCCTGCTAGCGACAGAGGCTGCTCTCTCTATTATATTGATGGTGGCCATGTTGTTTCTACCATATTCCTGTCTGGGTCTTCTGTCGTTTGGTGGGGAATTATATATGACTACTACAATAATTTTTGTCCCTGGTGTGTCCT